GAACATCCATAATGGAATATTCTTCATCGTTGGTCAAAGTGATCCCGGTGTAAACATTGCCGTAGATAATAATATATACATACAACCCATTATTCTCGCAAAACAAAAATTTCGTGAAAATATTTTCACACAAGTGTAAAATGCTTAAATTAAACAGAAAAAATTTTGCAAACTTTTTTGACGATATACAACACGAAAAAATTCATTTCTAATGCAAGAAATACGTCAAGTTCTTTCCGTTTTGTTTTGGATTTTATTCGCTAGAGCTGCTTATCTCTTCGCTTAATTTTTTTCAAAAACCTTATTTTTGCTGAAATATTTATTATTGCTTAGATTCATTACACAAAGCATAGATTATTACTATTTTTCAAAATATTTATTGAAATAATTTATTGATGCAAAATTTATTCCATAGCAAAGGACAAGTAATAAATTGCTCTATGCCAAATTAATGAATTGTATTATAATTCTTCAAGTTAATCATCGAATCGATTTTGTTCTTCAAGTTAATCATCGAATCGATTTTGACTTTGATCGAAAAGCAAATTATCGCAAAAAGTGGTCTAAAAAAGTAAAACTAAAAGAATCAAATTAGTATAGCAATTTCTTTCTAATTCAGAAATTGATCCTTCTTTGCAAATTTTCTGTATTTGAAAAAATATCTTCAATAAAGTCTTTGGACTATGCTTAAATGTCGAGCAACAATTCCTTGCATAATACTTGAGATACAAAATATTCTTTGATAAATTTTAAGTAATATGCATGAAGACGAAACATAAAATTCATTTTTCAGACTTTTGCTCAACAGTTATTATAATCTTTAGATTGGTTTCGAAGTAGGAAAACAATTATTATTAAATATTATAAATAACTTAAGCAATTCAAGCAGTTTTAAATGTTTTTTGAAATTATTTGAAAGTATTTTTGGTACCATTTGTTATTAGAATTTTTTCTTTTTTTTCTCGAATATTTTTGTGACAAATTTATGACTCCTTAAATGATTCATAAATCATTGAAATTCAGCCGCCTGTAACAATTTATCTGATCAGAAATAATTTAGCTAATTTCACTAATAGCTATGAGTATAACGGCGCAGTAACTGCAGTAGTTAACAATGTTTTCCTACTTTGAAACAGAAAAACAAAACGGAATGAATAAAACTTAGACAATATAAATGACTGCAAATTGAATATTATTAAAATATGCTAATTTGATTTTGTTTGTGCAAAGTTAAAATTGTAAATAAAACAGCAATCAGAACATATATTTTAGAGATTTCAGTGAAGTTCTGCAACAATTTATGATTCAATGCTCAAGATTTTGAGAACTGAATCATAAATTTTAACTTCTATTTGACACAATATGATATTGATTACATATTACTCAGTTCACTTCATCAATGACTTTTAAAAACAAACATTCTTAACATTCATCAAAAAAATATGATGAATAATATGTTGATTGTAGTTGTGCTCTGATTAATACAACCAATTTGAAGACACATTCTTTCAGCAGTGTACGCTGTTTTAATTCATTTTTCCAGGCTATTTTTTGCAATTAATCATCGGCAAACATTGTGATTTTTGCTTCAAACTACAAGTTATTTGAAGAAAACTGTAATATTGCAAACTGTAATTTGTTTTGTTCTGAGTGACCTCTCATAATTACAAAATTAAGAGCAGAAATAACTTAATCCGATGACTTTTTGATGTAAAATTGTAATTCATCCCCAGAAGACATTTTTGGTCTCTGCTGCTTTCTATACTTATCTTCTATGCATTCTTTTTTTCACAAGTACAATTTTTTATCACTTTTGATTAATTATTTGAATCTCAGTGTTGTGTTTCAATATTTTACCACACGCATCCTTCTCTCAAATTTCTTTTTTTCTCGTCTAAAACATTTTATCCGATGGATTTTATTTTTAAAAATATTAAATTCACTAGTTATTACTTCATAATCTTTGCAGAAAATAGAACTAAAGGCTTTTATGACTGTTCCTTCCTTACTCACATATCATTGTCAAAGGGATAATCATTGATTCAATGCTTGTATTTATAAAAATTCTTTTTTTATTTTTGGAAAAATAGCATCTTTGTTCAATTATTTTGCTTTGCTATTGTAACTGTAACAGTCATATATATTTTTTATGCTCACTCACAGATTATTACTTACAAGTTCACTTTTAAAGTTTGAATGAATACTCACTAATATTAAAATCTTCATAAATAGTGTCATTCTACTTGGTATGGCACCTCGCTCATTCTAATTATAATAGCTTAACATCTTAATTTCTATAAAAAATTAACGTAGGTATATATTTCCGTACGAAGTAATTCTCAAATATTCAATTATATCTCTTACTTACTGTACTTTTTAGTTTATTAGTATTGTGCTTTACTCATGAAAGTAATACTGGATTAAATACAAAATATGGCGTGAAAAGAAGTCATAACTTTGTTCAGCTCTTCAATTCAAATAGTAATCATAGACTATTCGTATTTTTGTATACGAGAAATATTGCAGTCTTGTCCAAAATGATAAGACTGACAGCGTCATTCATTAAAGTATTCCCTTACACATTTGAATTCAAATAAGCAAATCAATTCTTTTTATTGAAAAGTTTAAATTAACTTATGAGAACTATTTGGTTGAAATGTCTCGATCTTAGATACTACAAATGCAGCAAAATCAAGCAATACTTGGTAGATATCGTTTTTATTTATTATTATAGTGATATAATTTTGCATATCTAACTTCAAACTACTTTAAGAGCATAATCTGAAAGTTGAATGGAATAAAATTGTATAATTGAAATTGACATTACAAGCTTCTGATTTGAACTCGATGAGTACTGTTCTCAAATGTGATCAAATTTGGTTTCTATGAGATGAAAACAGTTAAATTTCGGGATTTTTTAAACGGACATAATGTACTTCATTATTTTATCATACTTAATATAATTAATGATTTGAATTCTTATTCCTGTTCAATACTCAATTGATTTTTTTAATTTATATATATCCAATTATTTGCTAAAAGCTTAATTTTCGGTCTCAAATTACCACCAGTATTTGTGCACTAAATTCGTTTAATAAAGCAAACCATTTGAAAGTTTAAAATTTTTTAGCAAAAGTATCTATCACAAATTTACCAGTCGCAGAATCAATACGTGAACTATTTTGATGAGTCAGATATTTTCTTCAAGTATTGTAACTTCCATAACCGGTCAATTTTTAAATTCTTCGATATCACATTTAAAAGGAAAAACAGTTTGATTCTCACACGAAGGAAGGAAGTCGGTACTAAGAAAATTCATGTGCCAAATATTACTAAATTAATGTGCTATGCCTTTTGGCTGCTCAATATCCTTCAAGCTTGCAACTTTTGCAATTAGCATTAGCATATATTTTGCTGGGCTCACTTGAAGACAGTTATTCGCTATAATTAAGATTTAATTTAAGATTCACTCTTGACTTCTTAAGATTTCCTTTTAATCATTATTTCAGTAACTTTTATCATATTGAACCTTAGAATCGATGTGCGATTAAGTTAATAAATATTGCCAAAAAGCTGATGACCATCACTTATTATCAACAAATAAATTTCTAGTTGCTGATAATTAGAAAGTTTTATGTTTAGCTCCATACATTATTCCAGGTAAACAATAATTTCCTAAATATGCTTCTTCATTTTAATAATTAGCAAAGAATAATCCGAAGAACTACAAGGAAACTCTAATAATACTTATCAAATATTTATAATTATCGTTACTTGATCGTGATTTTCAACTATATTTCTCGCTAACGCAATGCGAGAATATAACAATCAAGATATCAAAAGTAATGAAGCTGAACTTGATCCTTGCATTGCAGCTGAAATTCGTATGAAGAAAGCAATCTTCTCTCACAGGTTAAAACTTTCTACTTTGCATTTTCTGATCACAACAATTTGGATTCTATATTCATTACTTTTATGAATAATTTAATTGGTTCAGGAGTAACTTCTTTTGTATGATTTTGAATTGTAAATATGAGCTTCAATTCTGCACAAAAAATAGTTCCGCTAGTTAATGGAATCACTGGTTATTCACATCTCAGAGGATATGATTTAAGTTCATTTGCAGAGCTCGCCGTAGCCTTTTGATTCTCATCATTGTAATCGTCTCACTGATTTTATTTTCTCTTCTACTGATATTTTTATTTTCTAAATCAGCCTCAAAACGAGCAGAAGCAGCTGAAAGGAATAGGAGTAATCACGAAAATGAGTATGCGTTGGAAAGCACTACAGAGGTTTCCTTCTCATTGGAAAGCACTACAGAGGTTTCCTTCTCATCACTTCCGAAGATTTACTCATCGAAGGTTTACCTTCAGGAATTATCACAAAACAGATTATTATTTGAATTTAATGATGAAAATGATTTTCAAGTCATTAGACATGATTGATCTTTAATAAGCACTAGAAATCAAGATTAGGCCCTTAAGAATAATTCGTGCTCCAAGGAATTTGCTTCAAAATTAAAATAGTGACGTGAAGTGGTTTGATTTGTGCTGAAATTGGCGTGCTGAATTGTTCTAGTAAAACAATGAGGTTAAAGCTTAGATGTGAAAATAAGTGTTTAATATTTTAAAAGATCAAGTATTATGCATTCTGCTGGTCTTAAATTTCAGTACTTAGTATATTCCTTTGCTTTTTGAGTTTATCACTAAGCAAAGTCTGCTCATAGCATTATGAACTCAGCGCTGAAATAATTAAATTAAAATGGATAGAGTACTGGAAAAAATGAAGTCTAATCGAATACTAATTAACTGTTATATTTAGGAAACGATTCAGGAAACGATGAATGAAATGGAATTGGAATTAGAAAAAGAAATGGAAAACGTAGCATTGTCCCCAGTAACTTATAGCAACAAAAGTGAAATTATAATAAATGATGAAGAACGGTCGTCCACAGAAGCAAGTCATTTTTTTTTGGAGTTTACTAATCATTTTTGAAAACTTTCAGGCTTGATTACTTTCTTCTTTTTTTTATAATAATGATAATAATAATAATAATAATAATAATTATTATTATTATTATCGTTATTATTATTGACTTCGGCTCACATATACTTGATATCGTAACTGACATTCATACCAATGAGGATAATAATAATGTCTACAGTCATTTGTTACCTGACTATGTCTGCATAATTAATTAAAGTTTACCACACAGCAGTGTTCATTTCTCTTCTACTATCATTTGCTTAACTTAAATATTAGTTTGAATTTCATACTTTTTTAGCAAAGTTCAGTATTTGTCTCAACTCTTACTTCGAAATATGTGCCAACAACTGATATGACAACTTCAGCAATTTTTGATGAAATTTCTGAATTTTTTGATGAATTATCGTCAAATTGGACTGAAACAACAACAGAAATAATTTCTACCACAGACAGTTCTATCAAGCAAGTAGAAAAAACAACGGTTTCTGAGCCAGTTGTTGATGAAGATGAAGACCAAATCAAAGCTGAGGTTTGATCTTGCAAATTTATAAGAAAGACAGCTCAAGCACTTATTATAATATCTGAATTAAATTTGATAGACTTTAGATTTTTCACTGATATTTCTAGTCGACACAAATCTACGACAAAGAAAAGTGATTTTGAAGAGAAATTTTTAGAAGAGTGATTTTAAAGAGAAATCAGATATATATGAAAAGCAAATAAATTCGGAAATTATAAAATTAAGTTTAATCAGCTTCACATTTTCAAACTTAAATATGTAAAAGCGAAAGTTCTGTTATCTCACTGGCTGATAAGGTTTAAATAAATGTATAGATAATTCAGTATTCTTTATCACAGAACAAATAAACCTTAGAATGCATTAAAATCATTTTAAAATTCATTTTTATTTTGATTTTCAAAGAATAAAATATTTTTAGGACTGTAAATTTCTACTCAGAAAAGGTGCAACCCAAAATGGAATTTACCAAATTTACCTGCCAAAACTAGGCAAATTTGAGGTGCTTTGCGATATGGAAACAAGTGGTGGTGGTTGGACTGTCATACAAAAGTAAGCCAATCAAAGCGTGCCAAAAGTATAAGTTTAATTATTCAGAATTTGCTTATGCATTATATTTACTAATTATGTTGGAAATAATTTAGAAGAGAGAATGAACAAGTGCACTTTGCAAATAGAACTTGGAATGAATACCAAAATGGTTTTGGAGAGTTAAATACTTCATTTTGGCTTGGTTTAGATAAGGTTAGCTCTGTTCTATTTCACAGTAGTTACTATCCGCATTGAAATACAAGTAGTTGCTATTTACTATCCGCAGTGAAATACAAGTGACAATTTGAGCATTGATAAAAATGAACAGTTTCAGATTCACGCATTAGTAGCAAAGGATGGTGGAGTTCCAGTCACGTTGAGAATTGAGTTGCGTGGTGATTTTTGCGAGGGAGACAGTGGTTGTTCCAAGCAACCAGATGGATTTTGGTGGGGCGAATGGGATTTTAAAGTATATAAAACACATTTCATTGTTCACGTCAATCTCGAATGAGAAGAAATTTGAAATGAGAGAAAACTTTAGATCGCAGATTCATCGCACAATTATCGACTTACAATATCAGCAGCTGTGGCTGGCAATCTTTCAGAACGTACCACAACTGATCGTTTTCATTACATGAATAATCAAAAACCGTTCACAACCATTGATCGTGATAACGATAATTTTCAAGGCAATTGTGCACAGTTTCGTGATTTCGGGTAAAATCTGCTTTTGATTGATGGCATTAATGAGTACGCCAAACGAACAATAATATTTCATTTCTATCATTTTTATTGTTAATATTATTATATTTATTTTTATTATCACTATAGATATTGTTAATATTATTGTTATTTTATCATCATCATTTCCAGAAGTAATTATTAATATCGTCATTCATATCATTAATGACACATTTATTACATTTGGTTATATTTCAGAATAGAATGACTGTTGTTTGGCCGATGTTCTCAAGTGTTAATTCAACCTGAATCCATGTACATATTGACATATTTTGATTCCACTTCAAAGGAAAATAATTTCAGAGGTTGGTGGCATAACGATTGTGGCTATGTTGCACTGAATGGGCGATATGGCGATCGAACATCGAAAATGCGAAATATGTTTTGGTTTTATGGTAGTGGTAAACGTCCATTTGTGAATTATTACATCAAACCCAGGCAGTCACAAATGAAACTTCGATCTAAAATTTGATTTTCAGTCCTTCCCTTAGCGACGATTCTATTTCACTCTCACATGTTATGTGTGCAACATACGTACGTTTTCATATGCTTATGTAATTGTCCGCATTTGATGTACGTGTTCGTGTGCTTATTTGCATGTCACTGTATATGTGTTGTTTACTTAATGCTTTCCAAATCACTCAAGGCAAATGACCGATCTTATTACCATAATTTTTATGGCCTCTTAACACTTTATTTTCAATTTCATGTGTTTATTATCTTGATGAAAATAACTTTTATCAATTCTAAGGGAATCAGAATCATTATTGTTTTATTATTATTCGTATTATTACTATCACTGTTTGTTCATTAAGTAAGGCAGAAGCAGTGAGGGGCACAAAACTTAGCTAAGCTTAAAATCTCAAATGTGCAATTTTTATTCGTGATTTTATATCTCTGTTTTTATTAATATTCAATTTTCTATCATTTAACAGAAAAATAACGAGCAAATGGATTAAGACTTTGCATTCTTACGTGTCTTGTTCATGAAATTAAATAAGACATTTAAAAAAAATCTCTATATAATTCGAGAAAAAGTCATTTTTATTCACAAAATATGTGTGGTTAAAGACTGGAACTCCATGGATCAGTGTCTAAAAAGCAGATATATTCTATCTGATAAATTCCAAATGATTATTTAACTTCTGAATTCTGAGAAATTTTTATGAATCAATGTATTACTTCTGAAAAATCACTGAAGAAGCAACCTTAACTGTTATTTATGTTTAAATTTTTGCTAACGAAAAATTTTATCACTAAAAATTCATTCGAGCGCATAAATTTGAAATAGTAACTGCACAACGTGTGAATTACCAACTTGTGAAGCATTAATCATTCTTGAAAGATTCTAATACAAAACAGAAGAATGGATAATTAATTCGTTGCAGCACAGAGCGTACTTTGAGAAACAGTTGAAAATTTTCAGTTTTTGATGGTTTTCACTGAGGCATTTGAAGAAAATCTAATAAGCAGTTACATAAGTAAGCAGTAATATTTTGCGAGTACCATTTAAAGTTAACCAAAATTTGCAGCAATCATTAAAGTTTGAGAAGTAAAATTAATGAAGAAATTTTGACATTGTTAGTAAAAAACTTTGATAATTCAGTGAAAAATGATTTTACTTGTTTGCAAAAGATGTAAAACTAATATTTGCTTTAATAATTACTTTTGTTGCTTGGTGTTTTTGTAATTGCTTTTAGAGGACTATTTTGATACTTTGATCTGATTCTATCGGGTTATAGCTGATTATGCTAATAATGTATCTGGAACTAAAACCACTTTTCAAATCTCAGTGAAATAATTTCTAATTTCATTTTTATTGAATCTGATTTGCTCACCATGAAATGAGTTGAACTGATTTTCCTAAATGATTCACTGTGAACGTAATTATTATTTTTAATGTTCTTTTCTCAATATTCGTTTTTTTTTTCTTTATTTTTATTCATTAGAGCACTTTATTAAGTTTTCTTATTAAAAAACAAATTATTGTAAAATCACTTTCATATATAAATATTATATATATATATATTTGTTGTCAAAAGGGTTTTGAGACACTTATGTAGTAGATCACTCATTGAAGGAGTTTACAATAGTTATAAACATTAGTACAGAAAGACACAACTCATATAAGTTACCTATTCTATTACTTACATTGATTTATGAAGAATAGTATTAACTGAAACGGTTTTAAAACTGTTTTCAGAGATTAACAATTAGGTTATCAAAGATTTGAACAAGCTAATTTTTTTTCACTGAGGTTATGAATGAAAAATTAACCAATACGTGAAGCATTTGAATTTAATTATTAAACAATCAGTCATGCAAGCAAATTAATTTAAAATGCTGAATAATTAGCTAACTTATCATCTTTTCAGTGGAAATGCTTACGAGTGATATTCTTAAACTTTTTAAGACTGTTTAAGATGCTATACATCTGATCAGAAAATGATCATAAAGAGAATCAGAAAATGATTTGACATGAAAATAAAGAAGTGCGTATCAAGCTAGACAATAATAATACTAAAGTAAGGCACTATTCCAACTTTCAAAAATTAAAGCTAATCAGTTCTTTCATTGGTGAGTAAAGTTACCACAAGCTTCAATTAATTACTTTTTCGTCGCTGAAATGATGGTTTCAGCTTTGAACTATTCGTCGAATCTTTGCCCATTGCGTTGATGCATTTGACAGAACTATGTATGAAGCCATATTTTGATTTTGAACTCTGTGATTCAAGTACCAATTTTTCATTGACTTTTGCACTGCCACAAGCACGATTCTAAAATAAAGCAATTATTCAGATCTGTATTAAAACAACTCTGGTCCGAGCATTTTTTATATTAATTAATAACAGTACTTGTGATACAAGAAGTATTAACGTTTTCAAACATAATTTTAAAACTGCAAATGAATTCACTCGTAGAGAAAATGAATCAGCTTGAATTATGAATTAGTTCATAATTTTAGTTCATAAGAATGTTGTTGAATTTCATGCAAAGATATAATTTATTTTATATAATTAGTTTTTGAATAAGATGAAAAACAACTTTGTAATCTGTTGGAAATTCGTCTAGCTCCACGCAATTTCTATTTTTGGAAGCACCGACAATGAATATCGAATCTGTTTAATTTAATGCATTAACAACATTTGTTCGTTCTGATAAGCACACAAACAGATTCAAATCCTTCCCACACTTTTCCACTTCTGACATGAGTTGAGCGGAAAGAAAGAAAAGCAATACATTTGGATGAATCCATGCGTCAGCTAATACTAAGAAAGCCAAAAAATTTGCGAATTTCTACGATTTTTAACAAATTCGAAAAACTGCAAAAAATCAGAAATTTGAAATTGGTTTCAACAAAATACTCATTTTTCTACTTTTTTAAGCAATAAATAAATCTTTTAACCTTGCCGGTCACGAGCGGGAAATGATCCATCTGTTGCAATGGCATTTGACCATAGCTTTGAAGGATTAAGACATTTCAGATGAGATTTGGCGATCCATCTGTAATTTAAACATGACAGTAAATGCAAAGAATTCCAAATTGAAAAGAAAACTTCAAAATTGAGTTACTGGCATATATTTTTTTGTGTCTAAAGTGTTTTACACATGAAATCACAGTTCTCTGATACGATTAAACTTGTTAAAAGAAAAAATGCCTAATACATGCAATAGTAAATATAATAAATTGGTGGAATACAGTTTTAAAATTTACTAAAATTTCCTATCATTAGTAAAAAGTGAAAAATGCAATTTAGTCATCAGAAGTACTGGGAATTGAATGAATACCTGCACAGTAATCCAGCACAACAAAAGCAACAACAACAGTACATGCAAAATGACATTGAAAATATACCCAGAAAAAGTGATAAGTTTTCTCTAAATTTTCCTAAAATTTACAAAATTTTATTCTTAGTCGGGCAAGCATTTAATGTATAAATGTAAATAATAAATTAATAATTATAAATATAAGTGCGTAAATGCAAATGCATTTTCAATGCAATATTTTCTAAGAGATTTGAAGACATTTTGACAGAAAACTGAAAAGATTCGTAGACTTAAATTTACATATGTCTGCTCCTACTGAATGAACAAATATTACCTTGAATCAGCAACTGATTATTATTATCATAAGAGTCGAGTAGAACTCGGCAAACAGCGAATATTAAAATGTTCAGGAGCATTATCTAAATAAGGAGACATTCAAAAGTTTTTGAATAATTCTGAATTAATTATATCTTCGGGATAGTTACTTCACGCTACAATACTTGTCTCAAATATTTTGTGGTATATTTAAAATTATGAACATTCCTCTGACATGTTTATCTTCTTCTCAATTTTTAACTATAATTTCATTTTAAAGTTTAATGTTTTAAAAAGAATGCTTAAAGAAATAGATATGTTTTTTATGTCATAAGTTTTACTTGACATTCTCGAAAAACAACTCCTAAAAATACTTTTAGTGCAAAAAATTTTCCTCATTTATTTCATCTCATTATTCGAAGTGATAATGTATTTCTAATAGTTGCTTTTTAATAAAATATTAACGTACTTGTCTAACAATTCTTTACTTTATGAAGTATTTGGACATTTCTCACTTTATTAGCACTTTTTTTGATAACGTAGAAGAAAGTATTTACTATAGAAATTGTTGCGATAGTGAAACTCCAATTCTTTGGTTTTCCTGGTTCTCTTTCTCCAAACATTTGCAGTAAATCGGACCAAAATTTATCTGAAATTGTTGAGCACAATGCATAATTACAGCAAGGATTATGCCTAATAATTAATTGCTACAATTTAATAAAATGTTAGCCAATTTACTTCAATGATGCATCCAGTATTCTGCTAAAATTAATGCTAAATTAATAATTTCAGTTCTGAATGCGCTTTCTCTCTAACCTACTCCTAGCGCAATTCTGTAGTGATTGTAAAAGATGCTCTGACTGCATGATTAGTCTCAGATACGCTAGCACATTTTTTGCAGTTTTTTAGTGAGATTATTTATTTTTGGTGCATTTTATTATTGCTTGTAAACAATTGCCTTTGAAAGCTTCAAAATGATCGAAGACCAAATTGAAGCGTTAGTTTATTTTTGTGTACAAAAACTTGTCGTTTCAGTCATAAAAATTACTGATGTAAAATCAAACACTTTGCAGTCATTTTTGTGATAAAAACCAAAGTTAAACGTAAAAAACACCGAGGTGGGAGAGAGAAAAGTTTTGAGCAGTTTCTTCGCTTGCCGAGCCATTCAAAATGTTAAAGTTTAGAGAGAGAATGAGACGAATTATTTACTGAATGTAAAAAAGGGGAAAGAATCTGAAAGTTTGTCAGTTATTAAGTATTATTTTTTGATAATTATCTGTATTATTTGACTAATTCCTTTTTAGATCAGTTTTATTTTAGTAATCATTTATCAGTTCAATTTCGAACGAAAGGAACTGATCATCACAGAAAGCAAATTTTCCATTAAAAAAAAGAATAATTCATTGCTAATGCATACAATATTATGATGTAAATTCATTTTAAAAAGGTTTATTCAAAAATTCACATGAATTAAAAGTGAAATTGCACAAAAACTTTAGAAAATATGAGAGAAAGTTATTTCAGATTCGCTTTACTGAATCGAAAAGCAGATATCGATCATTGTATATTTCTCGCAGTGATTTCAACCACATTAATAGCTAGCTACCCTATCAATCCATTGAATTCATGTTGAACTTACAGACTGATCATTGCTGAATCGACCAAGTAATCGTTATCGGTTAGACAGTGATCAACCTGCTTGTGATTGCATTGGCTTATTTACACTTGGATTCTGCTCATTTTATTCGTAGAATAAAATATTTTAGGTAGAATATAAGTAATTACTTTGTGAGTGCTTGCAGTAAAGAGATGAATGAGATTTACAATAAATCAATCAAAGTCTAAAAATTTTCAATAAAAATTTCAAATTATGAATACAAAGTCTTATTTATGTAAAGGAATGATCGTATGATTGTTGTTGCCTTATCACAGCTAGTATCAGTCTCGCCTTAACTATCAGCTTTGTAGCTACTCTTCTACACATTTCTATTACAGACTTAGAGACTGAACTAATTTTTTAGCCTTTGGACTGTATACATTTTTGAATTTCAGACCTCTCTATTTTAAACCTTCAATATCATCAAAAATCAAGTGCTTTGTGAAATATCTTCTAATATTTTAACGAGCTTAAGTCAGCCAAAATTCAATTGAAAGTTTGGTAGTCCAATATCAAAGACGTAATTTTATGATTTATTTTCAGCCTTATTTATCATCAGTATTATTGCTACTGCTTTGTTAATATTATTATAGTGAATCATTCTACAAAAATTTTAATAAACAAATATGACTAAATGGGAGTAAATATTGTTGTTTTCATCACTGTTTTTTGCATAGTAACCATATTTTTATAAATAACAAGTAGTTCAAAAAATTGGCGCTAGGCTGCGCTTCGGTATTTTGACTGTAATTACCGCTTGCTCAGTTTTGTTGTGTTGATCTCTGATGTTTCGTTATCCGCGTCAAATTCACGGCAGTGATCACATGAGATGCTTTCGAGCATTTTCTTGAGATATATGCCTTGATGTGATCAGATATACTGAATTTCTTCACGTAACGTTTATGGAAATTCGATATCTCATCGCAAATCATCACATGCAGAATTATTTACGTTCTGCACTTCATCTCTGCCCAGAATTTATTAGTCAGTAGATAATACATTCACTTTTTTAAAGTTTCGACGGCTATCAATCTCTATCAATATTATTTCGCGTCGCTTTTTATCGTGTATTACGATATCCAGTCGATCTGCATTTATTTTAGTCGCTGTTCTAAGGTGCGTATCGATTCTTACCTTGCGTCTTATTCGCGACAATCTCCTGAACAGAGGGGCTTCTTACGCGGGGCAAGCTTTTAGACCATACTTCTTACAAAGTTCTAGATGATACATTGTGACATCTCACTAGGCCTACTAGTAAGAAAATTAGTTGCTGTGCAAATGCATCTGAGCAAGCAGTTGTGATTATCAAAAGAAAAATCAGCACAGCACCACTTTCACATCAAAACATGTGTCTAACATGATACGAAAATTTTTTCTATCCTAATGTTTCACACAGTTAATTATTCTAACTATAAATCAATCCTTCTAGTTGTAGGAGTCTACAGCATTTCAGACTTGAAGCATATTTGAAAGAATCGTATAAGAAATCTTAATTCGACTTGTAAGTCACTTTAAGAATGCATAATTATCTAGTTTTGAATCCATGTCATTATTGTGAAACGTTTTTTCTAATTTCCGAACACAAAAAACTCACCCACATAAAAAACTCATTACTAGAATTTTGTTTTGAAAAAATATGATTTCAGCAAACATTCTTATTTGCATGTACTGACTGAATTATAAAAAACTGCCTTTTTTTGATGGCATTCATTTAAGTTTTTAAAAATTATGTATGTAAATAAATAATTTTCGAGGAAATTTTAAACTTCAAAGGTAAACAATTCAGTTTTTGCATGAAAACTAGCAGTTATTTCTTCTCATTTTCTTTTTGTTTCGAAAAAAATATTAAAAAGTGAAAATAAATAAGCGCGAAAACGAACAATCGGTATAAAACTGAGTAGAAGGAAAGCTGTGCGAGTCAGCCAAATAAAACATTTATCAAATAATATTTCGCCGTTTTAAATTATTTTATAGCGCAAAATTAATATTCTCAGTGCTTTATTTGGCAGTGAAGTTTGAGAGAGATTATTGTTAAAGTCTGTTCTGTCAACCAAAGTAGTACAATTGCCTGATTTTCCGCCCTTAAAGCCGCTCCTATTTATTTTTTATTCACTTATACTTATTTATAAAAGTTATTTGTTTGAAACTTCGCTCTTTCACGTTTTAAGTTACTTAATAATACGCCAGTCTATGAGTTCTTAGCTACTTCGCGGGCATCTGATCTGTTTTAATACTTTGTGAAATGTCATTTTTACTTTTTTTCGTCCTTTTTTTCGTCTTAATCATTCCCTTATCGAGCATGCTGTACGCCATTTCAACCACTGACTTCTTTATTGGTGTGTATTCCATTTTGAGGAGTTTTTTGGACTGAAAAGACAAAAAATACAAAAACTTGTTCTCATAATAAGTATGAATTCTAATTATGAGAAAGAAAGAATAATCTTACTTTCGCTATCAATTTTTATAAATATACTTATGCGAAAAATATAAATATATCAAATATATGAAGTGATAAAATTTAAAAGTGTTATATATTATTAACAAGAAAGAGATTTGTAGAGGTGGAATGAAAAGTTTTGAAAGTATGGTAAATATGCATACCTTTGAATTATCAAAACGTAACTCAGGTCCTAAACGATACTTGATTGCGTTAAAATGTGGATCAGATGTTGCTTTTGCATACATTTTTGCCAGCCAATTAGGAGCCGTAAATGGAGAAATTAAAAAACCTGAAAATGCTTTTGAAATTCACAAAACTAATTTTATTAAAAATAACAGTAAAACTTCAAAAATAAAAGTGTGTCACATTTACATTATGCAACTGAGAAACAATGAAAGTTTACCTTGGTTCTTGAATTCTTGACGAAGCCATTTGGTTATCTGTGAAAACCAAACAGAAGGTGTTTCCGTGATCAGAATTCGCTCACCGTCAGAATCACTATAACGCATAGCTCGTATATGTGCACGTGCAACGTCGCGTACATCAACCATACCAACTGAAACTTTTGGTGCTGCTGGAAAGTTGAAATAGTGCATCATTCGCCGAATAATCTACAACAATTTATTTTTAATCAGAAATTTGATATTTTGCTATCGTTAAAGTGTGAATAAGATTAGTGTTTACTAATCATTGATTGTATTGATATGGATGAAATAATATAATTAGCTGTAATATTTTTAATTTGATTAATACAAATATAAAAGACCAGAGTGATTCCACCAAAGTCATGCAAATGAAAGTTTAATTTCAATTATATATGATCCGCCAAAATTTAATGATGAAGTGATATTATAAATGCAACTGACTAAGGCACTTCCATGCTTTTGATCGGAAAGTACTGGACCAACGACAAGTGTTGGATTCAGAACAGTCAATTGAAATCTTGAACTTTCTGTAAGTATTACTGTACTTAGACATCTGAACTCGGTAAGTAATATTGAAAGGTAAAGCTACTAGAGCATTCATTGATTTTGAATTAATTTTTTCTTGCACATCTTTGCAACTTTTTATCTAACACTAAAATATTTTAAAATAGTCGTCTCAGATTCTTTATTACTTGGGAGAGCGTTCCAGAATTCCCAAGCGGATTTTTCGGCGATTATTTTAGAACGGCCATAATTTTCTACTCGCTCACTATTCACATTTGCCCAGCAAAGTTCATCGAAGACTCTTGCATCGTTTTTGTGGCCATCTAAATGTAAGAAACATTGATTACTGTCTACTTTCATGGATTTTTCTCACGATGAAAGCGTAGATTAATGCATAATTCTGCAGATTTTCCTCAGGAAGTTTTTACCTGTGATTGCTGTACAACTACTAGTCAGTACAACTTTCTGTACAGTAGGACATTGGGCGGCAGCTTTGAGTACATTCAGAGTGCCATTCTTGGCTGTTTGGATAATAGTTTCATCGGCTACCACTGGCCAGGGTGATGCAATGTGCAAAATATACGTGCAACCTTCAACGGCTCTAAAATCTTAGCATCAAACATGAATGAAGTAAATATTCAAATTCTAGAAATTCTAGAAAATTATCTTTAAATCGCATATATAAAGGGATGGATAGTTATCATATTGTTCTATTCACCAGATTGATAAACTAAAAAGACCATAATTATTAAAATATGTCGAAATGAAAAGCTAAAAATTGAATGTTATATCACATTATATACTTGAGAAAAGAGATGTGAAATCAATAAGAATCAAGAATAAACTTTACTTAAACCAATGTTCAGGGCACTGAAGATCAGCTTCCACTAGTTCCAGTCTTTCTGCACTGTATTTCAGGTCACGTAGCGGATTCACCTTTAAAAATAATTTTAACATATGTTTTTTACTTTTAATATTTTTCTAAACTTAATATAATGCGTGGGAAAGATTTCTTGTCATCTTAAATTTTATCGAATATTCAGCAGTTTAAATTTTGAAGTTTAAAGCATAAAATTTAAACTGCTGAATATTCAATGAAATTTTTGATGCTTTGACTTATTTTTCAGTTTGCTATGAAACGAAAGAATTAAAATTTTATTTTGTTTTCAGTAAAGTAAAAATCTGACTTGCATTTTTGTGTTCCTTCATTTAATCAAAGATTAGAAATATTTCAGTTCAAAAATTGATCTTGAATAAGTGATTTTTGAAATTCACTTAAATTTTTTAAATAGTTTCTAAGTTAATAATTAACTTACTTTTGCAGGATTGCACAGACTTCTTACTGTACCTCTGACCGCGTAACCTTCTGCGAGAAGCTGTTGAACACAATGCAAAGCTATGTACCCCGAAGAGCCAGTAACCAATACCACTTAAATAATATGGTAAGATTATGACTATACTAAAAGTTTAATTTTGAAGTGAATTCAGAATAAAAGTTCATTCTGAATCAGCTCATTCAATAAGATAACTTTCAGATACTTTTTAACTCCGTTTGATTCTTGAGTGTTCATTTCAGAGAAGGATAGAAAGTTTCTAATTCAGTTACAAAAATAACTATCGTACTTGTGATTATTAGGCTAATTATTCTTCGCTTACAGTAGCATTGGGCAAAAAAATTGCTAGTCAACGAAAGTTTCTTACTTGTTAATGCCTAGCATTTTATGGAAAGGAAATGGAAATATTGCACAAATCCATCAGCAAAGTCAAACTTTGAACCTGACTGATATTTATTGCTAATTGCTAATTGCAAAAGGTAAAATGTATATTCTGTGGAATGATCAGAAGTAACAGTCTATGGATTAATTCACAATTGCATTAGAAAAATTAATTTATGTATTTTATCATATTTAATTATGTTTTAAGCATTTGTAGAGCTGAGCGCCAAAAACTGAAAGTACTTATGAAGTTGAAAGTTTTACCAAATTCGTTTGATGATAAACCAATTTCAATCATTTCGTGAAAATGACCGCATTTTGACTTCACAACTTTGATATTTTTAAAAATAAATTTATATTTCTTGTATTTATTCCTACAAATTATCATTATTTCCATGTTTTGAATAAGAAACAAGTTTACCGATTTTTTCATTGTTTTTCAGCGAATCGATAAGCGCCATCTGAAAATTCACAGCTCAAATTTCAATTTTCAAATGAAAGAGACAAAATATGAACTTAATTTTCTTCAATTTTTTGTTCACTAATTTTTTTTACGAATAAAATTCCAAACAAACAAGAATTTTCTTTAAATTTTAAAGCGTTTTCAATGCGGTCAACAAAAGAGAATATTTTTCGTCCATTAATTTGGTTGCAAGACCTGTTCACGTTACTCCATTCGTTTTTCTGAACTGATCAATTCTTTGATCAATTTACGTTTGTGACTGAGAATTATTTTGGGTGTAGTGAGAAAAAACCATTTTTCAAGAGAAATTGGATTGGAAATACGAAAACATTCAAAAATCATTTCTCTAACATTTTTCGGATGTAATAAAAAGTTATTAAAATATTAGACACGTTGAAAAATGGAAGACTTATTGATGAAAAAGCTATCATAGGTACTAATAATTATTCTTATTATCACCAAAACTCAACTTATTTTTGCTTGCAAGTATGATTAGTGTTTGCTTGCTTACTTTAAAATTGCTTGTATTTTCAAAGACCGCTATAATTTGATGTGATTTAAATGTACAGTTATTAAAAATACAAAATTAGATAAGAATTTTATTAGCAATAAAATAATTGTAGCAACGATTAGTTGCAAAAATTTGACTGCTCGTAATACAGAAAGGAATATATTTATACTTGTACGACGAGGTGACGAAGAATAACTCGTTTAATAATTCAAAGGGAAAATTTGCAGAAGTTAAAAGATCACTACAATAACTGACTCTTTCTAAAAAATTCAACGACGATTGCATCTGAATTTGACAGAATGATGAATGGTGCGACAGGTTGAAACAAGTTGGTGTGTTTGTACACGAAAGCAATAGATTAATGCAAATAAGTAAGTAAGCTAAAACAATTACTCTTTATAGTTAAAAACGATATGTATAATATTACTTTTTAAATACCAAATTTTACTTGCGATCAATAATAGTATATTTAGTTACAGAATGCAAACTTACCTATTCTTTGGTTTTTTGAAAATGTGTTTAATCACAATTTTTATGCAGTTTGAAAGTGGGCGCCAACAATTTATGATTAATAATGAAATTAAATTGCAAAAAAAAATTACGGAAAATTGTGCAAAATTTGTAAAACAATTTGCATTTATCTACTGGCATCATTTGACTGTTGTAAGTCATCCCAGTAATACATCTCACTAATTTTACAGAATGAAATTGTTGTTTATGAGAGATTAAATTTTTCATATTTGAAAGTGAAGTAATTCAGCTGCGAACGAGAAATCGCCGTCTAAAATGTTTTGACTAACTTACAATGTAAACAATGAATAGAAAGATGAATAAAAAATAATTAAAAATTCAACAATTCACTTCGTCAGATACCTTTAAAATAAATAAATCAACAAAATATATATATATATAAATTTTGTTGATTTATTTATTTTTTTATACATATATATACGTATTTTTCTAAACGAATTTTGAATGATTATGATTATATTAAAAGAAAATGATAATTTAACACAGATAATCATTTTCCTCTAAGCATGGCATTTTCCAGTGAAATGCTTGTAACAAAATTTGTAATAATAATGTATCTTGGTATAAAATTAATTACACAATTTTATTCAAAAACAAATCGCTGAGAAAGTTTAATTAAGATTGTGCTCTTATTTTGACTACTTATCACGAAAAAGTTACCTCAAGTCAGCTAATCATTAAAAAGTTTCGATCAGTTTCCTTCTGCTTTTAAATACAAATTGCTATATTAGATAACAATTATATTGTTTATACTTTGATGGCAATAAATGCAAATTGCTTCTGAAAACAATACTGATAATGCTATTTGTTGATCGATTTAAAATCTTTTCTCTGATTAAAAATAAGTAAATAACAAAGTTACAATCAACAACAATATAGTTAATAAACAGACAGTTTTTTAGCCGCAATTATAACTGTTTGAATTATCCTCTCATTAAAATTAAAAAGTTTGATCAACAATAAGAAGAGGTATTATTTATTTATTAATGACCTGATTTGGTTGATCTTATTTGCTGATTTGATTTCGAGACAGTTGCTTACACAAACGAAATAATTATATTAACTCTATCCTGATTCTGCTTTTGATTTGCAGTAAAACACAAATGAAATGCACAATCTCATAATGCTGCTACATGTTGAAATTATTTTAGACACTGATTGAAACAAAGTTTGTGTATAAATTTTGGAAAATATTTACAGCTCAGGCAGTATTAAACTCCAATACTTGTTTGAAAATGTAAATGTATTCCATTGAGAAAAATTATCAGACAGGCATTAGAGACAGAATTTATCAAATTTAGAACAATGAAAACTATTGGTAATGGCATCATGTACAGTAAAAACCTGTAACTTTGCAAATAAAGAGAATAATATGTTAAATTTTATTCATGCAGTGATTCTAAGTGAAGACGCCTCATGTAGTTTAAGGCAAAAATATTCATTTAATTGAAATAATCTCATTTAAAAAAGTGTAATAAACTAATTTTGTTTACTGAACGAAAACATTTCCTTACACAAAAACAGATTTTCCGCCTGAAAGATATTTTTTAAAAAAATACAACATTCTTTATCTCAAAGAAACTTTCAGTATCATGAAAAGTCCCAATAATCTATTTTTATTTAATTCTACCTATTGGCCAGAGTACAATTTTCCTGTCAGAATATGAAAAGATATTATTAAAACGCTCTCAATGTGCGATATTTATTATTCATATATATGTATGTTAAAGTACATCTCAAATAAATAGCAAACATTCTTCATTTGCATGAATATGCCGCTGAAGTAATGTGAATATTTTACAAATCTTCAAAAAGTCCTTGTTGACCCATTAATGAAGCATGAATAAGAGTTCAACGCAGATCTCTGCAAGGTAACATCCGAAATTGGATTGTCAAACATGACATACTGAAAATTCATTTTACTGGTAATTCTTGTACCCATGCTTTTTCATACTGCATTACGCTGCGACTTCCTATCACTTTGCCTTTTCTTGCCTTAAAAGACTTTTCGCAATTACTTCTCTCACGCTATCATGTATAATTTATAAACAATTGTCCCCAGCGAATGTACCAAAATCCGAACCTAAGCCCTAATTACAACTGTTACGGAATTAGTACACTGAAATCAAACTTCGAAAAGGAACTTCTTACAATGAACATCTGATACGAAGTTGAAGTTAATTGAAGGAATAAACCTCGAAATCCTAAAATCACAATATTTCTTTGCATCCACAACAAAACTGTTTGAACTTGTCTGAATTACTGCCACGTCATTTTAAAGCAAAACCATTATATTACGTACTACAAATTAAAATATTGAATTTTATTTTCTTGATACCGACAATTCAAAACTTAAAAATTAGAACAAATCACTGAGACAGAAACTACATTGCCAACTGAATAAGACCAACTCAACAAATAACAAGGCATAAAATCAGAAATAAAAATGAAAAAAAATACAAATTCTGACCTATAATTTGCAGGAATAAAAAGATTTTTTTAAAATTATCGTTCTAATTAAAATAAAATTGAGAAAAATTAATCATGTAAACAAAAAAAATTTCATGCATTTAATTTTTAAGAGCAAAAAGAAAAAATCAAGCAACTAGCTTTCGTACTTCGGTCAAGTATACATACTCATCAATATTTTACTACAAAAGGAATGACTTTTAATTATCTTAAAGTACTTTCAAACACGAAGCAATAACTTCAGCTAACTGCCGGCGACTTTCTGGATTTGGAGAACTGATCACAGTTCGGTATCCATTTTTCTGAATAGATACGACAGCAGCGAGATTATGCTAGAATGAGAAAAAGAGTAGACAAAAAATTTGTAAGGAATATGATAATAATTATAAATCCAAAAAACCATATGCACATGTTCTACTCTTGACACCAATTTATAATCAAGTATTAAAGACACTGAAAGAAAAATGAAATTTTTGAAAAGTGCCTAATAAACACTTACAAAGGTAAAACGAATGTTCCCATCAACTACATCTCGCTTATAATCGAAATTCCTCTAAAATTACTTTCCGTTCAATTGAAAGTAATGAAAAAATGCAGATAGTATTTTTTTTACATAGAACAGTCGATTTTTCCCATAAACGCTGCTCAACAGTAGAAAGAACCTTTTGTCAAAATAAGTTTGTGAATCAGACTAACATTAGTTTTCCATAACTGTGAAAATTTAACTCTCAAAAATTTCAAAAAATGTATTACGTATTAAAATGAATTTACTTTTAATAAACTTCGTGCAAATTTATCTGGATCAAGTTTTCCAATGTTGATGTTCATCACTGATCTACCACGAGCTTCTATATCTGGCTGAAATGAAATACTAAACATATATCTCTGTTGAGCTTATTTTTATTTCAATTGACAACTTACGTTAAGCTCCAGAACATTATCGTAAGCTGAAAGAACTCCTTTAAGAGATGAAAGACCAAATTCGTTGCGGTCTTGATCACCACGCAATTCAATACTTCGAAGAATCTGAAAGTTGGAGTCCTGATGAATTTAAAAACGAAAGTAAAAGATGACTAAATGTAAGTAAATATTTTGTTAAAAAATCAACACGTCATAGGTTTTACAAGCGTAAATCTGAAAAAAACTTTTTTCCTCGTTAAATTTTAATTTTTACACAGGAAATTTTTAAAATTTTACCAGTAAAATATGTAATATGTAACAGAATTATCGCTTTTTTGTAATCAAAGCAGATTCTCGTTATCATATCATCAATTCAAAAACTGACTGACGGAGTCTAATAAAATTTACAGAGCGATAATTCTGATTTATCGAATATTTGTCTAGTGAAAGGAAGCATTCCAAAAAATTGACAAAACTAACATCTGGATGCAAGCGTACCCGTTTCGTTTTCAACGTTGACGGTATTGTGAAAGTGTCACCGTATTTGTAAGTAGCTCGCGATTTCTACAATAGATTTTGTATTTATAATCAAAATCTATTGATTAAGATAAGGGAAAATACTAGTTCCCGTCTTAGTCAATACTGATATGATTTCTTGTAAATACTAATATCTCTTCCAATGCACTTAATTTCGTAATGATGCTGGCAAACAAACAAAAGAGATAATAATTACATATGAAACAACGAAATCTGTTCGTTGAGATGAATTTAGTGGTGGATGCGCATACAATTCAGACATAACTAACAACTTTGGAGCTAGATCCGGTAATATTGAAGGGTTGAGTTGCGAAAAGTCTAATCTCGTTTCAATAGGAAAAAAAAAAGCACGTATCGGAAGGGTTTCATATGGCCCGTAAACGTTTTGTATTGGATAATCAGGATCTAAAATCCCTTATTTATTTATTTAGTTTATACTTTTTTAATCAATACTGTGACCACAATTTAACAGACAGAAAATATCTAAGCTCACAAAGTAAAATGGACATTTATTATCTATACTATGTCATGTCATGTGATCTAACAATTTAGATTTTAAAAAATTAACTTCGAAATATTTTTGAAACGTTTCTCTTACCAGTCATGATTAATGCATTTCTTGAATCATTTCCCCACATTTCGAGAAAATGTACAGCATCCCCGATACGCAATGAAGGGTGACCCGTGAAAATTACACACGGGGTTTTCATTAGTTGACAGAAATCTCCATATATATTGTCATACACTTTTAAACGACCACTCCTCGACATCTAACAAATTATAATTTTAGAATCCGAAATAACAATTTCGGACAAAAAAGTGCTTGAAAGAAATATTGATTTCCCAAGGCGGCGAAAGCACCGGATAAATGAATGAATGAATAATGATGATACAAACAACCAAAACGCTTTAGTAATTATCTTAAAATTTATTTCCAAACACTTAAGAAAATATGGGTTTTTGTACACTTCTACAGAAATCAACAAAAATTCACTAATCCATGTTTGAAGGGCTCTTCTGGTACATTGATCATATTCTGCTTTTTCTCAGATAACCACTCAGCATAAATGTTGGAGTATGCTAAAGTACTTTCAGCAACTGATGAAATAAAATAAACTGGGACATCGACTGACACATCATGCTAAAAAGATCTCACTGAATTAAGCTAGTCAGTGCACTATTATTATGAGACTTCTGAGATACAACTTTACTTTCTATAAATGACCTTATTTTCCAGATAAATCATTCCTAAAAAGGATATCTAAAATTTTAATTCGAAAAATATTTATTCTAAAAAATGTAAGAAGAATAAAACTTTCGGTTCATTTAATTTTTACGTTCAGTGACCCCACTTGACAGTAGAAAATGCAACTGCATTCTTTTTTGCACTCTGTAGTTTATTTATGAATATTAGAAGGATGAAATTTAATTTCACCTGATCTAGCTGCACTGAGATCACTTCAAGTAAATCGTATAATACACCAGTTGGACAAATTGGCATTAATACAGAACCATTTCTTTTCAGTGTATCAGCTATGACAGCAAATGCATGACAGACCTTGAATGTCATTTTAAAATATGCAAATAGCTCAATATCATAATTACCTACGCTCTGATAGCAAATTCCACAATACTGTTCAAAATAATGCAAACGACATTTAACAGGAATTAAAATTAAAATTAGTAATAACTGCGAAAGAAATAAACCTTCAGCTCTTTCAGCAATAAACATTCACCGAGGTAAAGATTAAAAATTCAACTAGAATGAGCCATACTGCATAAAATTGTTTATCCTTATTTTCATTTAAAAATACGTGAACCAAGAAACTGATACAAATAACTAGGGCCTACAGTATATCGTGGAAAAGAGAGGACAAACACAAAAGATTAAAAAATCAAATGGTAGGCTCACTCTTTCTTTCTGCCACATATTTTTCGATGCGAATCAAAAATTTTCCTAGGTTTTAAAATATTCATTGCTTACTCTTATTACTGAACATTATTCAGTACTTTTTTAAGTCGAAGAGCAAGCAATATGTAAACAAGTCTCAAGCAGCAGAATTTGGTGAACAATAATGATTTACAATTATAAAAGAAAAAAGACGCTTACTGAAGTCTCAGGATTATGCTCTGGGAAACGACAAATCGAAGTGAGTATGAGAGCATCACAGTTACGAAGTTGATCCCACTGAACTGGCTTGGTATGCGAATTTCTTGAGGATGTTGCTGATAAATATCCTATCTTAAAGTAATGAAATTAGCATAACCCTGACATTAATAAGAGCTAACCAAAAACTTTGACTTCTGGTCTCATTTTATCATTTATTGTTTGCTAGAGATGTCTGCATAAATGAGCTGCTTGAGAAGACAATTTTGCACAAGCAGGTTAGTAAAGCAGCAAATGTTAAAACTTTTCATAACCTCTGAGACAGCAAAATACATATTCCTGAAAGATATAAAGAAGATCAGATTATTTTACAGGAATGCATTTTCACGGAATATCTTTTTAAATAAAATGAAATAAAATTTAGTCAAGCTGGCACTTTTTCATGCTCGGTACGTATAATCCAGTTGCAAGATCCAATTGAATAACCACTTGAATATGCTGCAACAACGGCAGCACCATGTATGTTCTGAAAATTGATGTTATTGATGAAAAATGAAACCACTGTAAAAACCGAAAATTGACAGTCGTGAATTTTACTAAATATACTCGGTACTATATTTGTCTTATATATTTTTATTAGTCTCACTTCACTGAAACTACAATTCAGTAAATTTACTTGAAAACAATGTTAAGGATTTACGATTGATTCTCGAAATGATATTCGCTGCACTTTTGTTAAGCTATTTTCCATCTGTTCCCGAGAATAAAACGGTCTCCACTCACGCGGATCACTTCCTGGAGTATTAGAAAAATTCCTGCAAAACGCAAATTGTAGACTCTGAAAATAGAAATCTTGACATAGCTACTTACAATATAAATGCCGAATGATCAGAAGTTAGTTATAAATCAAAATTAATGAAATGATAGTTACCATTCAAAAATGCGAAAACACCCACAACTTTACATGAAAAATAGCAAGAACATAAAGTGATACAAATAAACAACTTTGAAACTTACATAAATAATGATGGGTTTTTCCAAAAATCGTTTTGCTTTTCTCTATCAACTCTATCAAAGAAATCAAGAAGCTCTTCCATAACCAATCTTTGAAAAATAAACATAAAAGTAAAGCACAATTTTATACGACTAATACTATGGCAACTCTAGTATCTGCGTAGTGCTGATATTCATGAAAACAAGCAAAACTAAGTTTATAGATCAATGCTTTTACACAATTTTACATTAATTATCATATTAGTACCTCCCAAGCTGAAGTGTTGGATCAGTCGCATACACAATTCCATTGAAATTTGTCTCTTCAGTGAAAAATGGCAATGCCAAAAGAGACATCCAATTCGACACCAAAATTGCATCAACAGAACTCATAGTTGTTGAACAAATCTGGAAAGTCACCTTACAATTTTAAAGATGATAAAGACCTACAAAAATATATGCGAAGACATAAGCTTGATCCAACTGTTTAAGAAGTGCACTACTAAATAAAAATTGAAAAATCGTACCTGCGCAGGATGGACCTCGAATGGTGCATCCACCAAAACATGTTCGCCACATCGTCTCAGACAATGTTTGGATGTATTTTTCGGATAATGTGGCAAGTTTGAGAAAAGTTTACTAAATCAGCAAATCAATTTTTGCAAGTAAAAAATACTGTTAAACTAAGTATTGATAACTAGTAGCGTTTAAGAAAAGTAATAAAAGTGCTAAAAATTTGATTTTCCCCTATCAAAATTATAGTAGTGTAAGAAGTATTAAAAAAATACAATGTTCAATAGTGTAATTTCACATTTAGAAATAACGGCAAATAAAATTCTAAGACTGATACAACCTTTTACATATAGAAGCAGGAAGGAAGGAAGAAAGAGCATCGAAATCAACAGCACAATCTAACATGATGCTCGCTGATGCCCACTTCAGTAATAAACATGGCCGGTACGGCTGATTTGATAAAGATATCTGCAAATTAACTTTTATGTCTGTAAAAATGTTTGGTAATTAAAGTAAGCTTGAAAGGCTGAATTATCTGTTTTATGAAGATGAAATCATTCGGTTCATTTCAAAGACTTTTATCAATTTTTCACAAACTAGCCACTGAGACTCATTCTGCTTGAAATACTAATAGTAATGATGATGTTAAGAAGTCTACCAGCTGCATGACATCTAAATCGCACAAAATTTTTACAAATTAGAATGTTTTACGTCGTCCAAATTTGCAGAAGAACCAATACCTGAAAAATTTTTTCATGTGTCTATGAACTCACTCAGCAATATCAAATTTTATCCAGTCCGTTAATGTCAATGTTCTTCATTTGTAGAAGGAATTGAACATAACTAAATATATGTATGCATGTATATTACAGAAAATTTCAGAGCAAATTTCCAATGCAAATTATAATGAACACTATTCATGTCTATTCTCTTATTCAATGCTTAAATGATCAAAAGTAAGACAACTGACGAAAAAAATCAGTTCTATTTAACCATTCCCGTGAAACAGAACTGTGTTACTTAATAAAGTTAATTTTGCATGATTTTCGACTTGAAAAACTTAGTTTTTAATACTTTTGGCAAGATTAAACTGCTACTAAAGAACATGAGCATAAGATCACATTACTTATATTTCAGCGCTTGAATGAGTAGTCGGCAAATCAGACCTGAATCTGCACGACAAAAAAAACCAAATCGACTTCAAATTCTTCAATCTTCAAGTAATGAGAAGTTGAAGCAAAAAATCGCAAAGTGGCACTCGTAACGATCAATGAATCGCAAAGTGCACTAGCAGTGACTTCGGGGTGTAATCAGTGACTCGTCGATATTTACTTTATTTCTTGTATGCCTTTTGGGATGCTGCTTTCGTCTCGGGAATATTGAAGTGATTCAGCGTGATGACATATATTTTGCGTATAAAGAGCGATTCAGACCGAATTGACTTAAAACTGGAAATTACAGGTTGCAGGACATGATCTTATTGGATAGTTCACGCTCCCTCAGGCTTCAGCTTATTAACAGCATTGCTCATGTAATACTTGGAGCGCAAAGCTCACCAATACTTCATGCAATTCGTCGACGTTCTAAAGTAGAAAACAATTTAGGAATAACAGAGGACGGTCTGCCTAAAGACTATCGCCTCCAAGTTTTTAAGGTAGGCAGTCGACGCCTCGACACTATTATTAGCAGGGCAGTTGGTAAGGGGCGAGGGTACGTTAAATTCTTTCACCACATCCTTTTCCATTATTGCATAATCATTTATGAATTCTAACTAGATAGTATTTGAAACAAAAGTTCGGCCGTTGAAATAAGACATAAGTCTACTTGTTTTTTCAGACAAGCTGAAAAACTGATCTTAACTAACAAAGTCCAAGTTAATGAAGAAAATGTTGCGAAGAAATCGGCGTATCATGTACTGATTTATTTGTAAATTTTGTAATGAATAAACAGAATTTCTTCTGGAAGTTTCATAAACAATTGTCAAGTATAACTGATTCCCATATCCATTATAAGTTTGTTTATGATCCAATGAAGAGCTTCAAATCTTAACCGATCTCTTTGTTAAATGTTACATCAGTGCTCTTAATTCAGTCTAAAAAATCCCTAAAATAGGGATAGAGGAATTCTCTTCTAGAGTTTGAGTGTGATCTTGAATAGTTCATGTCTGTATTATTATAGCAATTTGTTCACAACATATATTACGATTTTGAACAACTGCTCTCAAAAAGTATGTTCGCATTTTACCAACATGAAACTTCAGATACAAGAAAACGATGTGATCGATATATGGAAACAACCAGTAGAAGATAATATGAAATTTGCTGAAGTTCAAAGGATCGAGATAGTAAATTATACATTAACCGATTCCGGCTATGATGTCACTTTGAAATCGTGGAAAAATTTTTATGTGCATAATTGGCGTGATAAGTAACAAGTAAAGGTTTTATTTTTCTGAAGAAATTGCATTAATTTCATTTCTTAAAATCAACGCAATTTTTGGAATATTTGGTAAATCAGTCATTAGTTTTAATAGGTTTGAAAGTAGTTTTGATGTAGTTGAAATCCTTATCGGACGTTTTACTAATTTCGGAAACAAAGTAGAAGTTTAAAAAATGTGAGGTTTTTTATTGTCAGCAATAGTTTACCTTACGACTGCTTATACATTTTTAATTCGTTTCCACCGAGAAAAAAAAATGTAATAGAATGAAGAATATCAATTTTGTGATAAATAACTTCATTGGCACTGTGCCGACTCATTTTAATCCGATGTTTTATCCATTTCTGTATTTACGTTGTTAATAGTCTCAGAATAAAATTGTTCTTCATCTCGTAACTTGTTGTGGCAGTTCTATAAAAACAAACATTAAATTTTAGTTTGATCAACCAATTTTATTTTCCAAATCATAATGAATGATATACACAAGCAGTCCTATCAATTCAGTCTAAACTCGAAGGCAGCAGTGGGCACTAAATTTATAACCGAAACAGTAGCAATAAACATACCCGTAAATGCTCCCAAACGTCCAGTAACATTGAAAACTTCATTGTCGCTTCATTAATCGTCCTCTTGCTTGCTTCCTCGATTTCAATACTTCGAGATTGAAGTTCTTTTCGTGCCTCTACTAGCTCCTCATGTGCAGAAAGCTGAAAATAACAGTGAAGATCAATTGCATTTATGGTACGAAGTAATCTATATGCCAAGAACAACTCACTGTGAGAAATGTTCACAATCATGTCTTCACAGATCTTCATTTAATATGACTATGTGCTCTGATCGAGCATAGAATTTAGTGCCAGACATCCAGTAATATCAAAATGTTAATTTTTAGGAAGGTTTTGAAAATTAGTCTGCTTTTTCAAAACGATAATGGGGAGACAACTTTTCAGAAATCAAAATCACTGATTAGCATGTCACACTGAAAACATACGAAAGCAGAATGATTACTTGCGAGCCCTATGATGGTACTCTGCAAATGAAATAAATCAATCGACCAAAACTGACCTTCCCGTTACGTAGAGCTAACAAGCTATCAAGTTCATTTTGTGCCATATCAACCTCAGACATCAATTTTTTATGCTCATCTTTCCAATCTTCGCGTTTGAGATTAAAATCATGGGTCTAGAAATGTACAATTTTTAATAAATGCTACCCATCATAAAGAAACTATCCAATTAAAACTGCATGTCGAAATTTACCAATTTCGAAGTCCGTCGCTGGATTTGTTTCAGATTTTCCACCAATAAGGAATTACGTTGTACAACTTCATCTTTTTTTCGACATGTTCCAGTTATTTCATCTTCCACCTTTCGGATACAACTATTCACGTTGTCATAAAGTTCATTCAACTTCCCCTACGAATTTCATATTCTATTCTGCTTTGATATGAAAGAACATGGAGCGTAGTTTTAGAAAGAATAACTTATGAAATGTTTATGCATGTTGTAAGTCCAATCTTGCAACGACGCATCAAGAAAATTTCAGATTTTAATAACGTTGCCCTGCAACTAAATAACAACGTTCATGTGTAAAGCAGCTAATTTATGGTGAGTACCTCAATTTCATCAATGAATTCAAGAAATTTCGGTTCATTCGGTGAATGATGTGCTAGGGTTGCAATGAATGGATCTTCCCCAATCACTGTTCTGCTTATATCTTCATAGGCTCGGACAAATATTCGATAACTTTCGCGTAGCTAAAATCTTTGAATGGTATGCTGAGCACTGCTTTCAGTAACATATTTGCGAAAATTTCAAAACAAAGTAAAATATATTTTAGTATGCAAAAAAATTTCTTCTGACGAATTTTAGTGTACATTCTACATTTCGAAAGTATGTATGATTTAAATCATTAAGCAAATACCGATGTCCTAATTTTGGGTGACTGGAAATGTCTACAATTAATAATTTATACAACAAATCTTACGAATTATAAAACACACTTCCGAAGCCTCTTTGAAATTTGAAGAAAGAAGTATATCATTTTCATTCCCGATTTCTTGACGTTCGTTTTTAACTTGTTGAATTCGAGCTGTGATCTATAAGTTTTCTCTCAACTTATGTCATTGAGCTATGGAACAAATATTTCGAAAACAGATAATAAAATTTACGCTACCGCAGATTTTAAGACATATCTACAAGAAGCAAATACAAAAAGAGCGTCTTAATAATACATACCACATCTTTTCGTATCCGTAGAGCCCTAGCTTCCTCACCACTCACAGACTGCGTTGTCAACTGTTTTTCTTTTGCAGCAAGTGTAGTCTTCATATCAGCTATTTCTGCACAAAACTGCTTTATATTTTCCTCCAAGCCATCCTGAGACGCGTTTATAAAATTTTTGAGGCTAGCATGATCAACATGATTTCAGTTTGTTGTTGAAAAAATGTGAGCACTGATATAAATCAAGCACTGAAGCTAGTGAATCAAAATGCATACTTTTCTTTTTTTATTTGCATTGAGCTTTTCCTGTAGTGTATCTCTGAACTTCTCTAGTTGCTTTAGATCTTCTTCCAAAGTCCTTATGTTTGATTCAAGTTTTTGAACCTCTCCCTGAAGTATACAAAATAATAATAACAAAAAGTAATGCGTCATGAAAAAGCTAATCAGATGCAATTCATAAGTTTTCTAATGTTCACTGAAATCATTCCAAAATTAATCGAAACAGACAATGTAAGTAAACTACAACTTGTATAATTTAGTTTATTTGTCTGAATCACATAACGCCAATCTGAAGTATATAACAAAAAAAAAATTAGATTTAATATTAGTGTACTTGATCTTTACGAAGTTCTTGAATTTCACTTTTAAGATTATCAATTTGGATATCGAGTTCAGATTCCTGCTGTGTTATATCTCCGTCTTCTTCTAGAAACTAGTGCAAGTTAAAAATTTGGCAGATAAATTTCATTTAAAATGCGATAAATCTCGAAGCAATGAAATTCTTGAATTTAACATACTATTGAAGAAAGCAACGTAATATAAGAGATAAAAGCATTAAATTCTGTTTACCAACAACTTGTAGTAGCACATCATTTTCTTCCTTATAATTTTCCATATTCCTACCCAGTAGCGGATTGCAGCGGAACTTTTTGTAACATCGAACTGTATAGCCATAAGCCAACTAAATTTATGTATGAGGAGCTTACATTATATATATAATGTTTACCAACAACTTGTAGTAGCACATCATTTTCTTCCTTATAATTT